TTTATGCAGCGGCAGATTGGACTTCCTGATTGGGCTGTGCCTGCTTTCCTCAGCGCGAGTTACAGTATCTATTATTGGAATTGGAATTTTTACTAATTACAAACAAAAACACCTTGCCATTCGCGGGTTATGCAATCAAGAGGGTTGCCGGTGCGTATATCGCCCAGTTTGCTCGCAATGGGGTAGTCCGTCTGTCCCTCGCAAGGGAAGGACTAGAAATTTGCCCAGCGCTTTTTAGCCCCTCCTGGGTGTGAAGCTGGAAGGGCACGGCTATCTTGGGAACTTACGACATGGAGATTCCTTCTCTGGTCGCTCTCGGTCCTGAAAAACGATGTATATGCCCCATGACGGCCTCAGTAATCGCCTGAGGTTGCAAAAGAGCTAGTCGGAAGGATGGAGGGAACGCTACTTTACTCATCCTTTATATTAAATCTACCAAACCTTACGCCCTTGCAAAGCGGCCCCCGCGGTACGTGAGAGCCCGATCTAAATTCCCGCCATAACCGGACCAGGACGCCCTTCCAGGTCCAGATCAAAAATAATGATCCCCCCCAGAAAGGCAGGGACAACAATCTCGAGTAAGCGGTAACGGACTTGGGGTGGGAATAAAACAATCTTCAGAACGATAACCGCATTAACCGGCGGAAAACTCCCCTGTTTTTCTTTCAATCCTACCTAAACTTCGTCGCCAGGACTATAAACCCTTCAGGGCCGCTGAGTTTGACTCAATCGTAAGTTTAATCTCTCCTGCTTACTCCATCTAACGCATGAGCGCCTAGCAACCGCTCCCTGTCGGCTCATGCGGTAGAATTACAGTACAAGTACCGGCACGGTAGGCGGGACAGAAGGTCACTGAAGGGGGTGGGGATCGCGCTGTTAAGCGATAAGCGCCCGAAAAGAAGGGATTGACTATGATAGCTCTCGCACGGCCGCTGGGGTGCGTTTTCAAACGGAGGTAATGGCTAGACTACGGGTGACAACAGTGGCATGGCAAAACCGAGAGAAGGGTTCCGAGATAAACGAGAAAGAAAAGAAAAGAGATTCCACAGAACCGGTTCGGAGATTAAGTTACGATAATTACAAATACTCGAGTTTGATATGACACTGTTAGCGTAGAGCACTGAGAGTACGAGTACGGTAAGGGCGCAGTATCATACTCCAAGTCAGAAAAAGCCTTGACCGCCAAACGCCCCACAGTTCAAGTAGAAACCATGCGAGTACTTGTCCGATTACCATTGGGCTGTGCACTTTATGGTACGGTACTCGAATGATGTGACGCTATTAATAGCTCCTTGAACCACAAAAATCCTCCCCCCTCCAACAAACTACCGGGCACCCTTCAAACCCTCCGTTACGGCACCAAGGAAAAAACAAAAGTTTAGAATGGGAGCACTGTCTATTCTGGAGTCGGGCTATTTATTAACGTAAAAGAGTGGGGGGGTTTTCTTTCTACGCCAAATTACAAGCACTGGTGGGTTCGAATTCGTGCCTACTCGAGTACTATTTTCTACCCCACCAGACTGTGGTATTCGAGGATTTGTAGGGCATATATTTCTATAAGATTACGTGGTCAAGATCGATCGGTGCAATTTTTATTCTCCCCCCCCAGAAGAGCACTTTCGTTCAGCTGTTGGGGCTGTGTGTAGGTTGGGTTGTGATGGGTGGGTGATGACCGGAGAAGGGGGTAGGCCTTGGCCATGCTGGGGCTTTGTGGGCCCAATTGGGTTGTCTAGAGTACCGCATTAACTGGCGATAGCGGGCCAGCGCTATATATGTTAAAATAAAGTGTGGCGCAAGCACGCCATTGCCAAGACTGTAGTAGTATATCAAGTCTTGGCTTGGGATTCACTATTGCAGCTACAGTCAATTAAATCTATCTACAAGTTCTCCAACCTCATTATCAGCAACATCAAGTTCCTCCTCTGCAGTCTCTACTTCAACTGCTATAGTATCCTCCATGTCATCACCTGGTCCCCCTGGATTTCCCCAGCTCTCAATCTCTTCCTGGCCTATTCGCTAATCTCCTACAATAAGATCTTCTGGAGAAATATCCTTAATGGAAATCTCCTCATCACAGGGGCCATCAATAGGTAATGCTAGCCCCACCTTCTGAAAAGAAGACACAATCAGCTCACACTTTGTAGTGCAAAACCTCTCCCAAGCATCAGCAAGGTAGTGCTATACAAGGACTCAGCAATCTTCCACTGCACTGGTACAGCTACTCTCCCGTAAATCTTCCCCAGATTGCTCTTCATAAAGGTCCAGAGTATCCTCTACTAATACTCATAGAATATCCTTTAATGGTTTGTTCACGGCAACATTGAGTGGTTGTATCAAGCCAGTGCAGCCAGGAGGAATCATTGCTGGAATGATATTGTGAGAGTGAAGAGTATATAAAACTGTGTTAGTCTTATGAAATTTTGCTACTTTGAGTGCTAGCATTTTTGGGCCCGGGAGAGTACAGGTACAAGCATGTCTGTTATCCAATTGACAAGTACTAACCCATTTGCATAGGCATTCAGGTTAAACTGTACTACAACTCGGGAATCATACCAAGCAATCTCTGCTGCCCGGCGTTGCTGATGTGAGCAGCGGGTGAGGATCTTAATGTTCTTGAATAAGATTAGGGGCTTGACATGCATTGCACTATCTGCAAAAATTCCAAGTATGATGGTTGCTTGTCTCTTGTTCCATCAACTTTGAGTGCTGCAAACTTGAACAGTATGCAATTCTCAGTCGACATAAGTTTGACCATCCAGAAATTCAAATGGTAAGAGAGTTTCATCCATATTGCAGATACTATTTAAAAGGTACCTTCCTACTACAAACAACTTATCCTCTGTCTCTGGTCTCAGTTGAGCATTGCGGTGAACATATCTGACAAAATTGAGACACTCGCAAGTAGTTAGCAGGAATCTTTTGTGACTTATTTGTTGCAAATCATAGGATGATATTATGATAGGCAAGAAAACCAAGAAACTACTCATTAGAAAAAAACAAAAGCTCTAATATTAATTGTAGGATATGTCTTGAGAAACATAGCTTGAGCAGTATGATGGAGCCAGTGTAACGATCCCCTTTCAGATAGTTAGTTCTTGGTGACAGGAAACGATACTTATCTTTTCTTTGCCTTTCTTTCCTTGTCTTACGATAGCTCTAGACCTCTGCCTATGTTGCTGATAGTACAAGACCTATGTCTTCTATCGGAAACACCTATCGTAAGCTTTCTCTAACTCGTCTTCGTGACGAGTGCTTCTTGGCGTAATGATAATGTTGCAATAAAGATAAAGATCGTAAAGGTGTTTTATATTCGTTAAAGTAATATGTAGGAAAAGTACTTAAAACAAAGCGTAAAGAACCTATCTTCCTCGGCCGCATCGGCCTCCTTATATAGTGTTCTTCCCGCCTTTAATCATGTGACCTAAAGTGGTCACATGTGTAAAACCAAATCAAAACAAACTAGTCATGTGACCAAAGTGATCACATGCTCAAAACCCATGACCTTATAGCGAGGTCATGTGCAAAACTCATAAACCAATCATAACGCAATAAACAAGTCATATGACTCGACTGAGTCATATGCACGAAACCCATGACATCATAATGAGGTCATGTGCGAAACATAAATCATATGCGCAGGGCATGTCCGTAAGGCACACTCGTAAGGCATACTCGTCAGGCGCATGTCCCATGACTCATACTTGAGCCATGTGCGAAAACATCACAAATCCCACACATAACTAATCATATAACCCGAATAGGTTATATGCGTGAAACAATAACATACCTGTGACTCATAACCATGTGTCACGTAAAAACCCTTTCCTCGCTAAGTCACGTTCGTGACAGCCAGCTACGTCGAACAGACTTGCACTCATCCTTTCATGTCCAATATACCTCATACAGCTTCTCTTCCATCTCAGGCCACCAGCAATTCCGTACTCCTTTATCCCTTCTCCACATACTCTTAGTACCATTGACAATCAGTATTATTGTATCTGGCTTTAGCTACTTCTGAATTGTTGTTCAAGGTACAAGGTACCTTGAAGATACCTCTCTCTCTGTTAGGCTTCACAAGGCTATGGGACCAGAAGGGATTTTGTGGTGAAGCCAAGAAGATAGAACTTGGAGTTTAAACTTCCTCATATATGAATGGTAAACCTCCTTCTGTAGTTTTCCAAAAAGTCGCAGATTTAATAAAACTAACTTAGAATTTTTTCCCGATCATTCTTTTGATAGATGTGGGCTCACCCGAGGCTTTCGACTAGCATGTACTGGTACACTCCCTTGCTGGACATCTTGCAATGACTGGACAAGAACTTGAGCAGGATTTATTGGTATACTTGGAGAGATACTGATAGGCACTATACTCTGTAAATTGTTGTTGGTACTAACAGAATCTTCAAAAATGTATATGTGGTTGGAGGGCACGGGAGGACTCAGATAGGATGCAATAGCTGAGTATTCTCAATTTATGTTGGAATGACATGTAGGAGGCATAGTTGATCGAGTACCAGGGGACTTAGATATTATAGTAGATAGTATTTGTCCTTTCAGGTTCAAATTAGTATTATTTATACTATAGATACTAGGAGAGCTTGAGGTCCAAGTGGCAAAATCTTCTGCTCTGAGCTGAGGTGAATCGCGAGAAACTGAACACTGCCTTCAACAGTATGTTGACGTTGAAATTTAGATTATTAATTCTTCTTTAAGACAAAGCTGAGCTGAGACCGAGGTGATTTACCTCAGCCACACTTTATTTCAACATGCCTAGTGCTGGCCCGCTATTGCCAGTTAATGCGGTACCGGTATGATAATATTATAACACTTATTTTATAGGTAATGGCTCTGGAAGGATCAGTTGGCGATCATAGCGTGTCACTCGGTTTTTCGGAAGTTTCCATCAGTAGGAAGGAGACAAGAGGTTGAGAGAATATTCTCGTGCTGTATTCCATTTTATACTTTCTAAGATATCACGATCTCTGATACCATAATTCCGTTCACGAGCCCAGGAAAGGCGAAGCTCTAGATGGAGAGACGGGCAATGACGGTCGCGTCTTCTCCGCCGAGAGCACCTCCTCCAATGTCATCTTCCACCCCCCGCCGACGTTCCCTGCCTTCGCCCAGAATTTTGATAAATGCCTAGTTCCCGAATCGCATAGTATAGTAACGACTCTATGCCCGGGTCCCATCTGTAGTGCTGTGCGTACCGCTGCGACGCCTATCGCTCCAGTTAGCCCCCCTCACCCTCCCTGTTTTTCATCTACTAGCTGAATACATACAATTAACCGCACTACTGCTCCCGACAAACAGTCCTTCCCGCTCGACCAGGAATCTAGCCATGGCCATCGCCTCCTCGTCGCCGACGCGGATAGCATCGTCAATTAGTGGCCTCCCAGCCTCAAAGTTCGCTGTGACACGGTTAATCCCGATGCCTTCTATGATGGTGTCCACCTGCTGTCTCCTCCGGGTGCCCTCTCGCTCTCTAACATCGAACATAACCCCGTAGCGGATACGGTTATACAATCCGCTGCCCTGCGGGTCCGCTAGGACAATTTTGAGCTTGGGAAGGTGGGGCTTGAGATACCTCGCTACCCCCGATATCGTCCCGCCAGTACCTATTCTGCCGTGAGCAAAAACATACAGTGAGCAAAGTACCCTACCATGCAAACAAACCTGCACCTGCAACAAAGCAATCCAACTTCCCTCCGCACTGGTCAAATATCTCTGGTCCTGTACCTTCATAGTGCGCTTTCCAATTCGCCTCGTTCTCGAATTGATCTGCGAAGAAGCCACTGCCCGGGATTATAGGCGATTTTGTGTGCTCCTCAGATCGAGCACGGGCTTTGTTTACGAACTGCGCACGGTCTACGATTGGGGCGGGGGGCACGCGCTCGACTTCCGCACCAAGCTTCGTTAGAAGGTCGGATTTTTCGGCGGATTGATCGTTTGGCATGCAGCTTCCCAAGTCAGTGCGAGTGGTTGGGGATGAGAGGAGAGGGGGGGTTACATGTGCGCTAGGTATCCACGGGCTCGGCAAAGGATTGCTAGAGAGACGCCAGTTGAACCGACGGTGCCTTCGTAGACTTTATCGCCGGAATGAGGCGTGAGGAGGCCTTCTGCCTCGGCCTTTTTTATGTATGTTAGTGAGTTTCCTCGGTTCTCAGGAGTCGAGGTGAGTACCGTTTCTATGAGTTTCATTGCTACTCTATCCTTAACTGAGCCTCCTGGTTCTAGGAACTGTCACTTGTAAGCCCTGGAGCTACAAAGTCCAATCCTGGATATACCTCTGCTTTCCCTAATATTTCGCATCCAGTAGCCTCAGAGAGACATTTTATCCTAATTAGAGGGGTATTTCCGATACACTCTTCCAGCCCGTTTCGTATGTCTTCCGTAGCTTTAGCAGGTGGAGATTTTCGTTCCCGGGGAGTTTCTGAAGGTCGATCGGAGAGCCAGTCCGCAACTAGAACAGCGCCAGCGCCGATAGCGATCCCACCGAGAAGAATTGTTGTTTGGGAGTATCTTTGCATAGGTTAGCAATTAAAGGCACAGTAGCGATATTTTCGGCTGTTACGCGGGGCTATAGCTTCCCATTCTCTAATTACTTCAGCACAATAAAGTTGAGTGACGTCTAAGGGGTAAGAAATGGTTTATCCTTATCGCCCAGATCGAGCCGCAACGCCAGGGATTCGTTTCTCCATGTACAAACCTTCCTCCCTGTCCCTCCCTTTGTTCTCCCCTCCTCCCCCTCCTCCTCCTCCTATCTCCCCGTTTCAAAAATCGCTACTACCAAATGGACTCCCCGTTAATATCATCACTCTTCCGATCCTTCTTTCGTCGTCGCGCCTGCGCTCGCCCCATGAATGGCTTGATCCGCCGGAATTACTCCCTCTTGCCGAAATTCCCATCACCGAGGATCACAGCCGATACCTCCGGCGAGACATGGCAGCCGCGAACGGCATTCCTCCAGAAGGACCGGATGAGCGAGTTTGAAAAATACCCTATGGTGGATGCACGAGCGCTAGCGAGGAGGAAGGAAAGGCCGAAGAGGGTGAAGATGTTGGTTCGGGATTTTATCGATGGTCGGGTTCTTTCTCTCTTGAAGCATAGGACTTGAGAACCCGGAATTGGGGGATTTCCTTATCACAATTTGTCCCAGATCAGGATTCTAACCGAAGGGTTGGGGCGGATCTACAGACAGTCTTTACAATCCCAATTACGGTTTCTTCTCAAAATTTGCTGTCATCTTCTCTACTGAGAAGCCCTTCCCGTTCAATCTGATTCGCGATGAAAGTGAGTTCCAGAGGGTCCTCGGAGAGCAGTACACTAGTTTCGAGGATAAGCTGGATGAGGTGGAGATGAACCCTGTGAGGCAGCTTTGGCACACACCTACGGAGCTGTTTAAGCCTTACTACGGGGAGGCAATTGCCAGGTACTTGGTGGAGAATTACAAGCTCACACTATTCCCGTATAGCGATCTCATAATTTACGAGATGGGTGCCGGGAATGGTACCATGATGTCAAACATATTGGACCATGTGCGCGATACGGAGCCAGACGTCTACCAACGAACAAAATATAAGATTATCGAGATCAGCAAGAACCTTGCGAACCTCCAAAGGGCAAGAGCGGCGGCTGGAGGTCACTCGGAAAAGATCGAGATAGCCAACGAGAGCATATTTGACTGGAACACATATGTTTCAGATCCATGCTTCTTCTTAGCTCTGGAGGTGTTCGACAACTTCGCTCATGACGTCATTCGCTACAACCCCCAAACAGAGCAACCATTGCAGGGAATTGTCTTAATCGACGCTGCGGGGGACTTCACCGAGTTGTACACACCAAGGCTAGACCCCATCGCCGAGCGATACCTAAGAATCCGCCAAAAGGTGGCAAGACCAGGCTACAATCACCCATTGAAAGGACCAAAACTCATTCGAAGATTGAAAGATCAATTCATACCGTTCTCAGAGAACCTGACGATACCGGAGTACATACCCACCAAGGTGCTCGGGTTCTTTGACATCCTTCGGGAACACTTTCCTGCGCACCGATTGGTCGTCAGTGACTTCCATGCGCTTCCAGATGCTGTCAAAGGGATTAATGCGCCGGTTGTGCAAACCAGGTACAACCGAACCAGTATTCCCGTCACTACTCCATTTGTACGTACCCTACATGTCATCCTGCAAGTATCCGTGGAGATGGGACTAATGAGGATGTAACATGTATAGGTACAGCAGGGGTTGTTTGATATACTGTTTCCCACGGATTTTGAGGTCATGGATGATATGTATAAGGCTATGACGGGAAAGCTTACACGGGTGATGAAGCAGGAGGACTTTTTGAGGAGTTGGGCATATTTGGAGGAGACAGAGACTATTAATGGGGACAATCCGATGTTGAACTGGTACAAGAATACCAGTGTCCTGAGCTCGGTTTAGAATAGGAGGCAGGGGGAGCAAGGTGATGTATTATATCAGAATAAGGCATAGTTTTATTTCTGTGCATAGATAACTATGCGCTCCATATTGAGCTCCTGCTATCCTCTGAACATGCTTTCCAAGAGATCAGGATCTAATGGTAAAAACAAACGTGCTACATGCTATGTGCAACGCACCACCGAGCATATTAATTTGCTCCTCAATTACCGGTATGTATGATACTTTAAAAAGGTGATAGTAGAGTCCAGATTAGATATTTATGTTGGACCCAATCCCTAACCCCTTAAGAGGCTTTCCAAACATGTCACCATTCCCCACCTTCCCCACTCATAGTCTAAATTACCCAACGTGCTCGAAGGGGCCGAGCTTGAATACTTTCCCGTGACCATGGTCATTTCACCTTGGCATATTTCAGCCAAGCCACCACTAAACGCGCAACGCGTCGACCCAAGAAATCAATTTATCATACCTTCCCGCTTCAGCCTCTCCAAACCAAAGCCTTCCACTGCCAATTCGCACGACCACTACAACCATCATCCAATCCATTCCCCCAAACAGCCAGTAACCAAGGGAGCAAGAAATGGGGTCGGCCTCAAAGAAAACTTCCCCAATGGACCTCCTCTCCGAGTAAGTACCCCCCTCTTAAGCAAAGACAAAAAAATAATAATTAAAATTCTCCAGTGAGGAGCAAGCATACCCAATCCACGAACGGGTCCAATCTGCGCAAACCGAGCTCGAAGGATTCGCTATAGGAGACCGAAGTTACGAACGCCAATTCGCAACAATGTATTTTTTGCGTCTAGTAGATTTAAAACCGTCGGTGGAGGCTGTCGCATTGAAAGCTTGGGAGGGCATTGAAGTAAGACACCTCAGGAATCTTTTTCTTCCTGTAGCCATTTAACAATACTGGGTAGATTGGAGGCGAAACCGTCAACAGAGCGGACCGCGTCCTTGAAGTCCGCCAGGGCGAACTCTGCTGGATTGTCGGCACAATTTACATGGAAATGCCGCTGAAACCCAACATCCTCGAGGACATTACGAAGGACCAATGGATTGCGGCGCCGCCCCCTCGGGATAAGTACGTGACGCCCGGGGCGGATCAGACCATGCTTGAGGATGAGTCTGGGCGGCTGAGGCTTGTGGGGAGGGCGCTTGAGAAGGAGTGCCTGGTTACTGGGGTGGTGGTCGGCGTCATGGGGACTGAGACCAAGGACGGGGATTTTGACGTCGTGGATGTGATCGTGCCTGAGTTACCGCCGCAGGAGAATAAATTGGATATTGGTGAAGGAAAGGAGAAGAAGGGTGGTAGGAGGAAGGTTGCATTGGTCAGTGGATTGAGTTTTAAAGGGAATGCCATGGAGAATTTCGAGACGGAGTTGTTGGCAGAGTACTTACTTGGTGAAGTGGGCGGAGTGGAGGTTAGTTTTACGCCATCTACTTTAAAAGAGGAGAGAATGCTAACTGCTATAATAGGACCAAGAATCTGCATCAAAAATCACCCGCCTCATTATCGCCGGTAACTCCCTAGCCCCAGTAGTCGCTCTCCCACCTGTCAAGGGCGAAGAAAAGGTTTTCCTTCCCCCTCCCCCTCTATGATACTCCACCAGACTGACCCTCATATGATAGCACAAAAAATATGGTTACGACTCAACAACCTACAACGCAAATCCCGTCCTCGCCCTTGACAACCTCCTGACAACCCTCCTCCCCTCCCTCCCCGTAACAATCCTCCCCGGCCCCACCGACCCGGCAAACGTCTCCCTCCCACAGAAGCCCCTCCACCCCGCCATATTCCGTAACGCAAAACACTACGCCGCCTCCTCCCTACACACAGCCACAAACCCCTGCTGCGTCGACATCGACGGGCTCAAGTTCCTGGGAACCGCGGGGCAGAATCTGGACGACGTGTACAAGTACGTTGAAGGGGAAGACCGATTGGGGATGTGCGAGCGCTTACTAAGGTGGAGGTGTGTGGCGCCGACGGCCCCAGATACGCTTTGTTTGTTCCCCCCCGCTCTGCACCTTTGCCACACACCCAAAGGTTAATGATTAGTAGGGTCCTTCCCATTTGAAGACAAAGATATGTACGTCATAAAAGAGTGTCCGCACGTATTTTTCATAGGGAACCAAGAGGAGTTTGCCAGTCGGTTGGTAGAAGGTGGCATTTCCTTCCCAAAAATTTCTTACTTTTGAGTTTACTGATTAAGAGGAGTAGGGCCTCAAAACCAACTCTGCAGAATAATCCTGGTTCCCAAGTTCTCGGAAACAAACGAGGTGGTGCTACTAGACCTTGACACACTCGAGTGCGAAAGCGTGAGGTTTGGTGTTGAGAATGGTACCGGGTCACCTGGTTAGTCGCTATTTTCTTGTTAATTCTAATTGACATACATGGGTGGTCATCTGGCTGGCTGGATGATGGAAAATGTATTATAGAAATCACAAGATTGTCAAATAGCTAAACAGTGTTTTCCCGCAGCAATACAATCAATAGCTAAACAAGTCATCTGGAACTAAGTATTGCGGCGTGACCAACGAAAGTGAAACGACCACAGTAATAATTATACTTCATTATCCCACACCGCCCTCTTTAAAAGTTTTAATTCTGATTCGAGCACGAGTAGACTACGTACCAAGCAATCCCGTAAAGGCTATCAGTAATAACTTCTATGACAAGTAATACATCTCCCATCCCAACCTCCGCTTCAGAAACATAACTCGCAGAAACATAATTAGCGTACCCCTCACCCCCACCGCCGGCAATCGTGAACTGCACGATACAAAACAGTCTGGGTGGGGAAGTAAGCGATAGCATATCGGGTAGACAAGAGTGAAAACCCCATGCCCTGATGAGGGAGAGGAAGGAAAAGTGAAATATATCACAAGAATGATAATAAAAAAACTCCGTTTAATACAGGGTAAAGTAAGATCTCACACCATCTAGGTGAAAAGTACCACGACACCACACAGCACGGTGCTGCAAAACTGAAAGAAACTGAAAGAAACTGTGAGAAAAAAAGTTGGGGAGGGAGGACTAAGGAAGATTGATGGAAAGTTAAAACTACTGTACACGAGACGTAATATAATATAAAGCTAGTATCTTAAGAGGTAAAGGGGGAGAGAAAAGAAGAAAAAGGTGCAATTTTTTGGCTCAATTTATTTATTATCGCACCCGACCTGACTATTCGTTATTGTTAAAATCCCCCGTTGGATTGACCAAACCAATTGAACGGAAGGGGGAAGGGGAAAGGAGAGAAAGGGAGAGAAAGGGAGAGAAAGGGAGAGAAAGGGAGAGAAAGGGAGAGAAAGGGAGAGAAAGGGAGAGAAAGGGAGAGAAAGGGAGAGAAAGGGAGAGAAAGGGAGAGAAAGAGAGAGGGAAGGAGAGGAAAGGAGAGGAAAGGAGAGGAAAGGATGCATCGGATACGCAAGAGGATAAATGTATATAAGAAAAAAGGAATAACGATCAAGATAAAATCTACGAAAATTTCCAGCGGTGAGAGCAAATTTCGCAGGTGCAGAACTATATTGTGTCCCTATCATTAACCCGCGCAAATCCAACAGAAGGTAATTGTGAGGAAGGGGGGAGAAGAAGGAAGAAACATACTGTAGTCATAGGTTCATCGGCAGATCTGGTCTGCGCCTGGGTATACGAAACCTTTTTTTGACCGCATTTTCCACAGGTGAGTTGGTCGCTGATAGACTTCTCGGATTTGGCCATCATGGCGGTCCTCATGTTCTCCTCCATGAGCTTCTCGTCGGCCTGTCTCCTCTGTGCGGACGCCATCTCGCTGCTCTCCATGGTGGAGAGGCGCGCGGGAGTGATCTCGCCTGAGACAACACGGTTGCGGAGATTATTGTCCTTGCTCTTGAGGTTGAGGAAGAGGACCTGCATGCGGCGCTTGTAGGCTGCGTCGGTCTTCTTGTAGTTTGTGAAGGTGATGGACTCAATGGACTTTGCTAGCGATAGGAGAGTATCCGAAGCTATTTACCGCCGTAAGTTTCTGCAAAATTCACATACTCAGGAGTAACTCAAGTGTTCAATTTCATACAAGCATCACAACCAAGTGCCAACGCGTCATAAATGATGCCAAGACAGTTATCACGAGTAGCTTCGCCGGTGCACTGCCAATTAACATTGTCGGTTTTTCTAGATCTAGTGGCAAGATCCGCTGGGCGTTTTCCGAAGGTTTAAGGGGAGT